GATATATTGCCGACAAAAAAAACGTTTATTCTTTTTTTTTGCTTTTCTAAATCTGCTTTATTAGTTTCTTTACTTTCTTCCACTCCTAATAATTTATTTTATTGAATTCTTTAACCTTTGACTTTTGCAATATTTATTAAGCTCATACAGCAGTTAACTGCTATTCTAAAGTTAAGCAACTATTTGTAAAAATGCAATAAATATTACTTAGATTAAAACCAACTTCTTGAAATTACAACAAAATTATTACCTATTAAAAGCAGACAATAAATTATGTTTTTCATATAATGCAAAAAAAAACCTTAAGCTAACAATAATAGAAAAAGGACAATGAAAAAGAAAAAAAATACAATTTTTCACAGTCGGATACAACTTAGACATTAAGTGAACATTCAGTCAAAACTTAACTGTTCATGGAAAATCTTGACGGACGACTATCCTCAAAGTGATTTTATTGTCAATAGTATTAAAAAAAAATTACGGCAGAAATGGTGAATGAAACTAAGCAGATATATTGAACAAAAGCAACAAATTAATGAATAACCATTATATAACTGTAAAGATTTGTAAACTAAAAAAAAATTTTTTTTTTCAGATTGGTGCTTCTTTTTTCTTTTTTGAACAGTGATGTTAAAAGCTATTGTTAAAATCCATTTGTCAATACAAATGGAATGTACGATTGTCGCTTTGTCCAACTTTCTGAATTACATGTTTTTTACTCTCTTCCTCTTCTTCATCCTCATCCTCATCCTCTTCTTCTTCTTCTTCTTCTTCTCCATCCTCTTCCTCAAGTTCACTGTAGACATCTGTTCATTTTCTTAAAAAGCTATTCGATTTATTGTCGCTCAGCTATTTTATCTTCCTTGAAAAAAGGTTTGGTTCATGTCAACCTCTCAGAACCTCAGAAAGAATTGTTCTTTGATCACTAAACAATCCTTTATGCACATTAACGATAACTGTCAGAAGCGACAAATTTTCACTGATGGAAAATTATTTTAGTCTTTATCTTTCTCCTTACACTTTTTTTCTTTTCATCCTGTATAACATTACGATGGTTTTGCTATTTTAAGGTATCATTTGCCCGACCTAGCAGTGAATCGATTAAAGGAGCTAATCTTTATGTTAGTGGACTACCAAAGTCAATGAGCCAGCCAGAGTTAGAAGCTTTATTTCGACCATTCGGTCAAATAATCACCTCGCGTATTCTTGCCGACAATGTTACAGGTACATTCTTTCCTCCTCTGACCTTCATAAAAATCACCTTAATATACCAAAGTTCACTTTCAATAATGACAGTGACAATAATGGGACGGGATTGTAATTTGACGGCTAAAAAAAATAATAATACGACTTAAAATTTGCTGCATAAGTTTCAGGTTTATCAAAAGGTGTTGGATTTGTTAGGTTTGATAAGAAGAATGAAGCTGAAAATGCCATATCAAAACTTAATGGAAGCATACCAACAGGATGTACAGATCCAATTACCGTTAAATTTGCCAACAATCCTGCAGCAAACGTCCAAAAAGTTCTTCAGGTACAAGATGTAAGTTGTTGAAAATAATTCCCTACTAATAAAATTATTTGAATTAACGCTTAGAACTGTACATACTTGAGTCCAAAAAAACGACAAAAAAGCTAGTTAAAGTTTGGTTGTTAGCAGGTTGCACAGGCTGCCTCAGCATTAATGCCGTTAGCACTCTTGAATACCGCAGCAGTGGCGACGGCAGGTCGTCGTTACGCAGCTGGGCCGATACATCATACACCACAAACGGCTCGATTCCGTTACTCACCACTCGCAGCGGCGCCCGCTGCAGCTCCGACTACTGCAGCTAGCCAAGACTTACTGACTAGTCAAATCCTTCAAATGGCTGCAGTAACAGGTTATTTAAATTGTTAAATGCTTTTTTTTACTTTTTCCTTCCTTCAGTGTTGCCAAAATGATCAACCCCAAGTTATGTTCTCCTTTTCATTGCTTCTCCTTTCAGGAGCTCCAGCATCCGCTACACCATTAGCCAGCCTAACAACAGCGAATCCATCTAATACTAGTCCGTCAGGATGGTGTATTTTTGTATATAACCTTGCACCTGAGACTGAAGATGCTCTTTTGTGGCAATTATTTGGGCCATTTGGCGCAGTACTCAGTGTTAAAGTTAGTTGCTCTTAAAAAGCAAATATTACAAAACTTCTTGAACTATACTCTGCTGCACACTACCAATTAATCTACCATTTGGAATCATATAGCCTGCGTTTTACAACTGTTTTTTTAAACGAAATTTATAGATTATTCGAGACTTCGCTACTAACAAATGTAAAGGTTATGGTTTTGTAACGATGGGTCAGTATGAAGATGCCCTTACTGCGATAACTGCTTTGAACGGCTCTCAGCTAGCTGGCCGAACATTACAGGTGCGTAGTAGTAGCGTTTTTAATTATTCAGATCTGTAAAAATAAACTTCACTTTTACTACTTCTTATTCTTACTTAATTTGTTTCTAGGTCTCTTTCAAAGCGCATGCCTTGCCACCCAATTTGCTACACGTCCGATGAAGAATGCACAAACTCGCCAAACATTTAGATGATTCGAAATGAAGATGCCTACTGATATTAATAATCTGGTCATAGTCTCCTCTGATGTCGTCCAAAACCCAAGCCAAGAGATAAAATCATTTTCTTTTGGAGCCATAAGCAGAAACCGCAGACATTTGTTACCCCAAAACTAACATTAAGAAATTTCTCCCCTTACGAGAAAAGCTAACTAAATTTTTTTCATCCAGAAATGTGTAAAATTATAAATGAAATGAAGGTTGAGACGTGCTTAAAAAAAAAAACACACTTTTTTGAGACTTGGTCGGCATCAGTTTTTTTTCGCTGTCGATTCAATATTTGCCAAAGTTTATTATATAGTAATTTCATGCACCATCTTTCATTCTGAAAACTGTTATCGTTAAAAAGGTACGAGTTGTGATACGAAATTAAAAAACTAAAATAAAGATGTAGTTCCAGGACTCCGATTCTGTGTCATAACACTTAGAACTATCATAGCTATAATAGAACAGAACATATCCTTTTTAAAACAGAAAGTTAAAAAAAAAACTGACGCAGCTTTTCGACGCAGTTTTCAATAATGCCCCAAGAAAGCACAGTTTACAATGCAGTTACAAAAATTTAATATATTTTTAATCAACGAATATTATCTTTGACACCCCTTAAAAAGAATTTCAAAGTAATGAGTTATGACTTCTCAAAACCTTCTGGGGTGGAAAGTTCACATGCGTCAATAAGTTTAACACTGCTTAATTTTGAAAAGTTTTAAATATTCATAATTTACTTTGTACAATAAAGCGGGATCACCAAGAACTGAAGTCTATTAGTTCAGAACGAGTAGTCTTTTTCTTTTTTGGAACCGAACTTCCAGCATCGGTTTCTTCATTTGCCACTTTCTTCTGCCGATTAAATTTGCTCAAGTCAAGATACCTGCCTACACCAGTGCCAAAAGTCTTCGGCTTTGGTAATTGCGATACTGTAGCAGGAATTGCGGATGAAGGCCCTGCATTAAAAACTTACAACTTCATTATAAAAAATAATAAAGTAAAACCGATATACAATTTTTGACTCAGTATATTCAATCAAACAAAAAAATTTCAAGTCCTCACAAGACAGCAATGGAAAGTTACCACTAAGCACCCGTACACAACCAGTATTTTCACAGCCTTGTCCGCTAATGCTAAACAACTCGAGAAAAATACTTTAAATAACCACCTAAAATATAACTCAAAATAACTTACCGTTTTCGCATGAAAACCCTGCTTAAAAAGTGAAAAGATACCTGCTTCAGCTTCAGCTTTTTTAGCCAAGATTGCATCTCGTTCTTTTTGTACTTCCATTTCAGCCGCTTCGAAGGGATCAACAAAAACTTCTGCGGTCATGAAAAGCACATCCATCTAAACAAAGTTTTCAAAAACAAGTATGAAATTTGAGTGAATCAAACTATTACATCAGTAGCTTAAAATAATAGTAACAAAACTGTTAGAAACCTACGATCGGTTTGTCTGTCCCCTCGACAGTATCAACTTTCTCAATTGCATTTAGAGTGTCTGTTCCTCCAACAACATGTCCGAATATTGTATGTTTACCATCTAGATATTTGCATGGTCGGAACGTGATAAAGCTAGAAAAAATTGTTCTAGGAAAAATAGAAATGAGAGAGATATTGGAGTATATTAACACTTAAACACAAATATAACTTCAACTTTAAATGTTGAAACTTAAAAAAAATTAAAACCGGCTAAGTATAATTAACTAGATAGAATGATCGATTCAAAGTCACTGTGTTCGTTTAAAGCAAATACTTTACAAAATCAAAACCTCAAAGTCAAATCTGCAAAGAAACAAAGTTCTTGAAATCCATTTCTACAGAGCGAAAGGATTAAACAGCAGTCGCATCTAACTAATATCTGCATTCAAAAGGTTTTCTCAAAAACAAAATACCCCCAAAACCCTAGATTACCAGTAATCAGTTCAAAATAACCAGTAGACCATGGTAGATAAGTTAAAGAATCGAGCTGTAATTGAATAATACTTATAAGATTCAAATTTGCAATAAATCGATTAGTTTTCAAGAGTATCGCGACTCGTCCATTTACCTGCTCACAAGCTGCAGCGTTTGAGGATGGTATCTTGCTATTATGGCTTATCCGATAATAATTAGCACATACCTACTTCTAGAATCTCCAATTTCACCTGTTCACAATGCATTCTTGAGCCACTTTCATTCATCCTTAAACCCTCCAAACCGAAACAGTACTGGACGACCCCAAGTTAAATCAATTTCAAAGTTATTTCTCGAAGTGCTTTTAAAACAAACTACAAAATTCAAGTTTAGTGGAGGAATTTTTTATTGCTGAGGGGCAGACCTGTCCAAATTGCGGGAGTCTATTTTCTAAGTCTGTGGCTGTAACTCTATAAAAAAACCCGTAAGAAACTTCGACTAATTCAATAACACCTTCAATCCAAGTAATAAATAATACAAAGCAATTTATTACTCAAACGCTCTTCGCAATTAAGACAATCAAATCTTCAATTCGTTTCAACGAATGTAAAATTTTCAATCTCCCGATACGTTTTTAGAAGAAATTTCAGACCACTGATTATTTAAAAAAATTCAGATGCACGGTGTTTCGCTAAGCCAACTTCTAAATATGTTGTAATAGATATGGAACTACTTTTCTTAAAGTATATATACAAGTTCACAGGTGAAGATTTTAATAATTTTTGCAGCTGTTCGCTTACTGTAGTATCTACAGCCAAAACTGCAAAGCAAAAGCCAATTTCTTATAGTTTTATAATTTTAAATACACATCTCAGTCTCTTCTAAAATCAAAAAATAAAAAGAAAGTATCATACTAGTATCTTTCCAAAGAGCAAAAAGTAATCGTTACTGTATACTATACGAAAGCTGCCTACAAAATTATTAGTGTAAAAGCTGTAACACTAAACAAAATATTTTTTTGTTTCCCTACCAATTTTGATTTTTTTGTATTAATGCAGAACTGTCACGTTCGAAAAAGGAAGCAAAAAGTAAGACGAGGGCTGCAATACGAAGCTGAAACTTCCAAGAAGTGAACAAAAGCAACATAACATAGCTCAGTAGCCAAACGTATTTCTGTCCGTTAACCCGCTAGTCTCACAATTTCCTCCCACATAGCAAATTATAAGAAACAGTAAAAATAGTGTTTTCACTCAAGTCTTCGGAATCAGTAAACCCAACTTTTTACAAAACTCCCTAAACATTTCTCTTAAAGCCAAAAAATTACTCTTGAGTTTCGGGTTCAAAAAACTGCCCTCTTTCTGAAACCCTTTTGAACAACTGTATATCTTGTTGCTTGAGATTACGAAAACTGCAGTTTTACGCAAAAATTCGTTCAGAAAAAATTCTAATAAACTGACAATATTACTTTAGCTCAGATGAGATAGAAAACCTTCAGAATAACATGCCAACTGAATTTATCCTCCTCTTACCAAACAAAAACCAATAAATTTCCTTACCGCACAAAAATAATAATGTTGTGCATTTAAGAAGGAAGGACGCCGCTTTTCCCAAGAAATACATAGTATTCTTAAGCAGCAGAAGACTTTTGCCAGCAATTGCCGTAGTTTAGGTACAATTTATCAAACGAGGCTGTTTTGAGTGATAAATAACACCCTTATAAGTCCGAGAAAGCAGCATTTTTAAACTTCAGACATAAGTGAACTTTTTCGGTTAAAAGACGCTGGCTTCCTAAGCTTAAAGGGTTTATGACCACAGACTTTTTTTAAAGAGAGAAAACTTTTTCAATGCCTGAAGTGAACATATTCAGAAAATAATCGGTACTCTATCAACTGTTTGGGAATAGATGTTGAGAAAAGTTGTTTTGCCCAGTTCCTGGAAACTAGGCAGTCACTGGAGCAAAAACAATAATTTGATTTGTAGGCTTTCATGCTAAAAAATTTTGAAGAAAAAGAAAAATCACTGTTGCGGTACTGCTTTAAAAGATACAAAAGCTAATGGCAAGACATAAACATACAACTGAGACTGATTGGTATCAGTGCCGCGATTCGCCATGCTTAGCATGCCTCGTTTATCATGGCTGAGAGATCTTATAATTTCGTCCTTGAAAGGTTCACCCCATATCGACTCCCCTCCCTTTCCTGTACCAGTTGGATCGCCACCTTGCATCTACAAAAAACGTCTTAAGATCATCCGACAGCCGGCTAGTACAAGAATTTTCAAGTGAAAAACAGATGGAATTTAATAAAACTGTGTAAAATACTACTTACCATGAAATTCCGAATAATTCGATGGAACTTCGTATTGTTGTAATAGCCATTTTTGCAATGCGTAATGAAGTTCTCACACGCCCGAGGAGTTTGCTTACAATAAAGCTCTAAATTTATTGCGCCGTAATTCGTCACAATTCGGACATAACCGTTTGATTTAACACGAGCATATCTAAAGCAGTTTTCATATCCAAAAGTTCAGAAACAGAACTACAAATGACGGGAATCACAAATTATTGAACAAGACATATAGCTTCACAAAGAAAACGATACCTAACTGTTTCCGCATCTAAAACAGCAGCTTTCTGTTTGGTAACTGGCGCCATTGCAGTCGACGTAAGACTTGCTGCAACTTTTCCTTGACTATAATGAGCAGCATTTAATTCATCCGCATCTTCCTCAACTTCTTCTTCTTTTTTCTAAAGAAACTAGCACTACTAGGTCTCAAAAACAAAAATGGCTACTATACGTCCTAGGAGAATGTAAACAGCAGTTAAAAGAATAAAAAGAACAATAAGTCCGGAGAGAAGACAGTCAAAAACATACCGCAGGAATATATTCTTTGGCAAGTTTGTCCAAGGCTTCTTTCATTTCATTATTCATTCGCCGAATATAGAATTTCGGATCTTGCATCATACGTTTCTCAGCTTCAATCTCCATTTTAGTTTTTAGATCAATTTTGACATGATGAAACTTTTCAATATTGAACTTTTCCAAGTGATTTGGGTCCTAAAGCTAAATAATTTATTGGTTTACAATGGTATCAAGTCGCTGACAGACAGGCTTACTTTATGAAATCAACAACAAAATTAGAAACAACTTTTTTGTAGCTGCCAGATTAAAAAGAAGAAAAACGAAAGAAACCTGCAGAGTAATAATATCCTTACGCTGGAATGGCTGGTCATTAAGCAGGTCTTTTAAATGATTTGCTTTAAGGTTTAATTCTTGAACAGCTTCTAAAGAGTATACATTCCCAGTAGTTCGAATAGCAACAATGTTTGAAGTAGGTGTAAATACCCGGAATGTGACGGGACAGCGATAGTTTCCTACAATGCACTTTTTAAATTAAGAGAAGCAGCAACTTTTTTACACCTGAAGGCGTACAAACACCAACCTTGGCTGTCTTTGTCAAAATTCAAATGAATAAGTTCTTTTGAAGACAATTTCTTTCCTGTTACTGGATTAATTCCGTGCCTTTTTAGGAAAGGGATAATGTTCCTAAATAAAAATTTCTTTTGAGTAAACTTTCGAGCGAATGTGAGTTACTCAAGAAAAATAATAAAATAAACAAGACGGATTTTTAAAAATGTTATACAGTATGTTAAACAAATTTAGAAAAAAAAAACAAAAAACCCACACGAGATCAAAAATAATACCATCTTGAGAGCAAACTGGATTCTCGAATGGTAAAAATGATATGGCACAGTGCGTAAAAGGCAAACGTTTGAAAATAGCTCGCTGCATCTGTGCCTCCGTATCTTCAGTTAAAAAACAGTTAACAACGACAAAATTTGTTAAGAATTAATAAATTAAAAAATAAAAAACAAAAACTTAGATTTAATTTTACAAATAACATTTATTATAATATGGCATACCATCTTTGTGACCTCCATAAAGCTCCTTCCACTCTTTCGTGGTTAGGTACCTACAATGAAGAAAAAATTGTTATTATTATTGTCATAGCAGACAAAAGACATACCCGACATACCGGGCTAAAATCTGGCTAGAATGAAAGCATGGCGAACATCTTGATTGTCTACGAATGACCTGACGTATTTCAGTGATTCTAACAGCTTCCGTTGTCGATAAGTCACAAACTTCTTTTTTTTGGCTTTTCATACGTGTATTGAACAGTTCTGACTTAGTGAAAAGAACTGTACCGAAAGCAATAAAAAAAGCAGATCCCAATTAGGACAAAGAACTTACATTTTGTCTTTTTGATGCTGTTTCTTACCCATATTGAAATGCAGCTATTAACACCGAATCCAATGACTATAAATTTAAGTAGTGATCAACCTGTAAAATCATACCGAATTTTACGATAATACAAACAGATTAAACAAACTGATATCCTCAAAAAAAAAAAAGGAAAGTCACGGTTTGTTCAATGCGTAATAGCAAAAAAAAAAAAAAAA